CTGATACTTGGTATTTCATTAGTTTTTCTGTTATTAATAATAATTGGAAGTAACTGGAAATGTTACAGGCATTTGCTCTGCAGTGTAGTTCATAGGAGGCATTTCCAGACATGTGGTCCTGCATTAAAAATGCTGTGAGGACGCAGTGTATTCTGTACAGCTCTTAAGGGACACAGATTTAGATACTGTGATCATCATGATCTCCCTGTGATGGAGGGACCTTCTCCCAAGTAGCGAGCAATCTATATTCAGGAAGCACTCCATGGTGCGCTCTCCGCAGGTCGCACAGGGACCCACATGATAGAGCAAACAAGTTTTGCCCATTAAATTTAGTGACTTGAACAAATTTTTATTACCTTTTGTAAAAACGCAAGCTCTGCCTCAGCCAAAACCCAGTTGTGACTTATGAGGTGTTTCGACATATTCAGAGAAGCCGACGGTTTCATATGGCGGGATTATTGCCGCATCAGCTATCAGCTACTACCAGTGCGCACCGGCCTGCTCTCATGACACACGGCACTCAGAATACTCAACTATGGACAGATGTTTCGGAATATCATTTCCCCCTCCTGGCTATTGGTTGAGTCCCAGCGCCCACTCCTGATTCGAATGCAAGATGTTTTCTTTGATACTTGGAGTCTTTAACGACCCAATCAACTCAGTAAAAGACGCGCAGCGTGCCAAGAATTTGGCACGTGTGGTTGGGGCGTCTTCTTGGACCTCTCGCCACTGACGGTGGTTACGGATGCTCCGTGACAGCCTCTGTCACTCTGCTCACTGTCCGGAGCCGACGGATTAGTAAAGAGCACACAGCTCTGGCAAAGGGATTGTGAAGTGCCCACACAAGGTTTTAGCAAAAAATCAAATTGATGGTTTCGTTAAGGGATTGGGGAGGAGGGACCCAGGGCTTAATTGCAGGTTGGCGTGGATTCTCTATACAGGTGGCCCTCTCCCCATAGAACCCACAATGGACTGTACTCAACTGTTGGATGCGCCTGGCCGGCATGGCTCAGTGGTTGAGCGTCTGCCAGGATGTCACAGTTCGATTACTGGGGAGGGCACATGATCGGATTACAGGCTTAATCTGCATTAAGGACCGTGCAGGAGGCAGCTGATCAATGGTTCTCCCTCATCATTGATGTTTCTAGCTCTTTCTTCCTCTCCCTTCCTCTCTGGAAAAAAAATACACACACACACACACACGCACACACACACACACACACCTGTCGGATGCACTTTTAAAAAGTGAAATTGAGGGAATGATTGGATTGGGTTTTGCAATGATGAGAGTGATGCCTGGGGCCTCAGGGATCAGGAGGGACTTTTTTTTCTTTGGGTCTGTACAGAGTGAGTGTGTTTACTTAATACTAGGAACCCTATTGGGAGCTCGAGGTCTTTTTTGTCTGAATACAGTGCATCCTCCAGCCACCTTGCTTTTCTAAGGACACAACCTGAGCACTTACCAGTACTCCCATCTCCCAGGTGACAGATTACCACCTTGCTCCCCCTAGTGGAATTGTGACTCTACTGCAACATTTGAGAAGACTCAGTATGTGCTTGATTCAGCATCTTCTTTGTGGGAATCTGGTATCGTCTCAATTTGTTCTCAAAGACTGAGGTTAAAATCGAGAAACGTTGCATTGTATGGGCTGATGGATGTGCATGGAGACACTTGTATTTTACGGATGCGTTTTCAGTTTCTAGTGGTAGCAAGGCTAGCCACGTCCGTTATAGTGGCGCCAACTTCCAGGGACACTTCTGCCCTGCCCTTCTCCGTCGGAGAGGGGTCAGATGTCACCAGTCGTGCAGGCAGTCACCTCCAGGAGCCGGCTGCCTGCACTCCCGGCAAAGAGGGTCGTGCGGCTAGTGGGTGAGGTTGAAACAGGACAGGGCCCGTCTGAGTGCTGCGCCCACCTGTGCCATCGGTGAGGCAGGCACAGGAGGTATTCCTGTGCCTCTGGGTCTACCCAAGGGGCTGTGCCACTATCCATAGCACCTGGCTGTCATTGTCAGTCCAAGGCAGTTCTCCTAATAGAAGCTGGAATTCCTGCAGACCTCTCTTAAGAGTTTACATTTCTTTTTTAAAAATTGAATTTATTGGGGTGGTAGTGGTTAATAAAGCTACACAGCTTTCAGGCATATAGTTCTGCAATATATCACCTGTCTGTTACATTTCTTTAGGGAACGACAACCTGAGGTTTCATGGCATCAGACTCTCCCTTTGTCCCCTGCCACTATTTGCTTTTCATAACCTTGACCCTTGTTATGAATTGATGTCCGTCAGCTTTGGACCGGCTGCACCCAATGCGCTCCTGTTTTGTGGACGCTGGTGTCGCATGTTGAAATGTCAAAAAGAAAAGCCTGTCCGTGCCCAGCTCAGAATCCTACTCTTTTTCAGGGAAGACTTTGCCTCGAAGCCTTATTCAGGTCCAGGCGAAAGCTCCAAGGATACAGTGGTTTCCAATCAGTGATCAGTACAGTCTAAGTACTTTAAACTCACGAGCAAGGACACTGTAATTAGAATAGTTCCCCTTCCTTAAAATTATGTAATTGAGACAGTATTTAGATCTACCTTTCCCCAAATATTTATTCCCAGAGTAATGGGTTATACTTACGGAAAAAGAAGACAGCAGGATCGGATTAAAATCCCAGCCAGTGAGAATGCCAGTGTGCTTGCTGGGCATGTTGTATGTGGGGATGTGGAGAGAGACAGAAAGAAACACCCCTATGTCTCTTTCAAAATATATATATTTTTATTGATTTCAGAGAGGAAGGGAGAGAGAGATAGAAACATTAATGAGAGAGAATCATGGATCGGCTGCCTCCTGCACACACCCTACTGGGGATCAAGCCTGCAACCTGCGCATGTGCCCTGACCGGGAACAAAAACCGTGACATCCTGGTTCCTAGGTTGATGCTCAACCACTGAGCCATGCAGGCTGGGCCCATTATGTCTTAAACAAAAAAAATACTAACTTGCTCAAGAGTCACAGTAATTTAGTTCAAGAATTGCACCCATGCAAACATGCAGCTTCCGCTCAAGCAGAGCGCGGGCCGGTGAAGCTCTGGCTTGGAGCCCGGTGACGCCCGGATTCAGGGCCGTGAGGACGAGGATGTGGCAGTGGCCACGTGGCCGGCTGCGGGGAGAGGTGCCATCTAGCAGGACGATGGAGAACAGGCACTTTCCTATCCCGCGGGCAGGGGTTTGTATGGGAATCGACATCTACCCCTGTGTACACACACACGCGTGTAGATGCCCGTGCAAACGCAGGCGTGTCCGTGTGGGCATCTTTGCATGTGTGCGTGTGCCTGTAGCGTGGGAGAGTTCCAACAGTAGCTCGGCTTCCCCGTCCCAGCGGATGCCGGGAGTTCTATGCACTGACAGCCCCTCCACAGCGGCGGTGAGTGGAGTCCGGCCGGGTGTGGACAGGTGTGCACCCCACCCTCTGCTGGGATTCTGGGCATTGGGGGTGCGCTGCGAGGCAGGCCCGGGGAGGTGCCGAGGGCGTGGGAAGCTGCCCGCACCCGCCCTGCTAGAGGGCTGGGCTGGCCTCCTGCCTGGCAGCCTTGTTGGGTGGCTCTCCTGGAACCTTCCAGCGTGGTCGGAGCCCTGGTCTTTCCTGAGCAGTGCGAGGACTGAGCGCCACAGAGCCGTGTTCCCCCCGTTGGCGAGGGATGAGAGGCTTTCTTACCCTGCTGCCTCCTTGGGGTGAAGCCCAAGGTGCCTCACGCCAGGATGGGCTTGTCCCTCAGCACCTGAACTTCTCAGCTGTTGACTCCACATCGAGATCCTTGGGGCTCTGCCTCTGCTTGTCGCCTGTGGTTACTGGGCGTGGAGATTTGTTTTCTCCTGGGGCTCACAGAGGCGGGGAAGTGCACGTGAGCATTTGGCCAGGAGCACAGCAGGTAGAGGGTTATGAAACAGATAAACGAGATTCAGTATTTTTGTTGAGCTCAGTGGGTGTGGCTCAGAGGTCACGGTTTGATTCTCGGTCAGGCACATGCCCGAGTTGTGCGCTTGATCCCTAGTAGGAGGTGTGCAGGAGGCAACCGGTCAATGATTCTCTCTCATCATTGATGTTTCTATCTCTCTCTCCCTCTCTCCGTCTCCTTTCCTCTCTGAAATCAATAAAAAAAATTAAAAAAAGCATGCTGTTTGTGTAGGGTTATATGGCTATAGAGGGTTTTCCCATATGTTATCTCATTTCTTCCTGGTAACAGTCCTGTGAGGGGCTGGGCTGCAGAGAGTGTGCGCACCCCCTGTTGCGCTGGGGAAGGAGCTGCAGGCGTGGAGCTGGCTTTGCCCAGGATTCTCACTCCGTGGCCAAGCCCAGCGCCAGCCCAGAGCCCACCCCTGGTGGCCAGGCTGCTGGCAGCATGTCTGACGCATCAGCTCTGTGTGTCTCCGCCCCTCTGCGCGTGCAGGCCCCCAGTGCTCGCCTGGTCTTCCTTCCTTCCCTGTTTGCAAGCTCAGGCTCATGAAGGCGCTTCCCGAAGCTTTTCTGGGCCCTTCTCCTCACCTACCTGCGCCCAGCAGAGCTGGTTTCGCTTCCAGCTGTGTCTCCATCACACTTGATAGACCCACTATGCGTGGGGTCTTGCTTGATGTAGGCGAGGCCAATAGGAAGCCCTGAGTATCACCCCCTCTTCCTGCTCCTCACCCACCTTCACACCAACCCTTTGGGGAGGCAGTGGGTGTGAGCAAGTCTAAAATACTCAGGCTTGTTGGTCACGCGATGGGAAGTGTTCGGGAATGATGCCCAAGGTTTCCCAACGTTGACACGGAAGCGCGCAGGAGGCCAGCAGCATGGCCACTAGCGTCCTGTGGGGATGGATTATTTGAGGATGGGGTACGGGGACATCGTCTAATGAGAGGTGGGGGCGGGGGGCGGGGGTTACAGGGGTCCGTTTGCACAAAATCACAGATTTGGTCCTTTCCGTGATGGGGAAGTTAAGGGCCCGTCAAGGACCATTTCAACTGTGGGTGATTTTCATGTCCCACCAGGAGCCCCAGGTCAGATGTGACTGTGTCACAGCCTCCACATCGTGTTATAGTTATTTCTTTATGCAACTGTCTCCCCACTAGACTTCCAGGGAGGGAGGCTTGGGCCCGATCCGTCTTTGTCTGCCAGCCGATCGTGTTGGATTCGCTTTGGGGAACACATTTTCCAGCCTCCCGCCTCTGCATGCCATCGAATGTATTTAGTCATAGTTGTGACTCAGACTCTCCTGCCTTTGCAGCCGCCGCTGGTCCAGGCCATCTTCAGCGGCGACCCGGAGGAGATCCGCATGCTCATCCACAAGACGGAAGACGTGAACGCTCTGGTAGGCGACGCTGGGCCCCTGCCCGGGCCCCTCACCTTCCCCGTACCGTGGCCTCCTTGGTAGCTGGCGAAAGCTCAGGACTGCTTCTCAGAAATCTGTTTTTAAATCCGTAAAATGAAATGTCTAGGGTTAGAAAGGAAACCAATGACACTGAAATATAGTTATCAAAATATAAAAAATCGGATTTGTGATAGAGTAGATGTGCTTCCCTAGCAACACATTTAAGCAACAAGATGCAGCAGAAGGTCCAGTAGTGACCACAATTCAAAAACAGATCGCACTCTGACCGTACTCTGCGTGTGTGAAAGCGCTCTGACGTGGGGTGAGCGAACCTGGGATTTCTGCTGGGGGCCCAGCCACGTTACTGCTGATGCCGAGGTTTGCTGCCTACGTTCATCGTGGAAGTTCATGAAGCCCTGGCCGGTGGTGCTCAGTGATTAAAGTGTTGGCCCTTGCACCAAAGGGTCTCAGGTTCGATTCCTGGTCAAGGGCACATACCTGGGTTGCAGGTTTGATCCCAGACCCTGGTTGTGGCTTGTACAGGAGGCAGCCAATTCATCTCTCTCTCTCTCTCTCTCTCTCTCTCTCTCTCTCTCTCTCTCTCTCCTCCCCCGCCCCCTTCCCTTCTACTGTCTCTAAAAATCAATGGAAAAATATCCTCGGGTGAATCTCAAGATGTAACATTTTTATATCTGGAACCCCTGCCCTACAGCAGGGGCTGACCAGCTGTGGTCTGTCATTTATTTTTGAAATGGCTGAAAAAATGAAAAGAGTAATGTTTAGTGACGTGAAAATTATACGAGGCCCAGCGTCTATAAATAACATCTTGTGGGACACAGCCATGCCCGCGTTTGCTCTGCAGCGAAGAGCTGAGTAATTGTGATGGGGACTGTGTGGTCCCAGTAGCCCAACTCTGTACAGTCTGGCCCTTTAGAGGGAGTGGTTGCTGACCTCTGCCCTGCAGTGTGCATGAGCCCGGGACCACGGATGAACTAGGCATGCTGTGTGTGCCTGACATCATGTGTCATGTACGTGGGCATTTGTATTTTTCTGTGAAAGGGTCAAGACTTGCACCAAATTAGTAAAAAGGTCTATGGCTCCTAAAAGAGGAAGAACATTGTATTGGGAAGATCTCAAAGCCAATGAACCTGCGATGAAGAAAGAGTTAGTCAATCATTTACCCTTCGAATCGTTGCTGAGACCTGGGAGGAACAAGCAATGACATGCAATATGTCCTGCTAATCCTCTTAAGGTAACTCAGTTACCTAAGTGCCCGGTCCCTCAGGGAGGGAGCTTTCTCTGAAGTCTCTGGTGTTGAGTAGAAGCAACAGAAAGAGGGGGGCCCATCGGCCCCGCGAGGGGAGCTCTGCCCAGGGCGTGAACTGTCTGAGGGTGTATCCCTGCCCGATCGGCTGAATGCTTCATTCAGAAGGTGGGCTGTGGGATGCGGCCTTGCTCTGGCCATGCAGGTCGCTGTGGCTTTTTGAAAGAGCTTCTGGCAGCTTCTCCCCTGACAATAACGGGCAGTGCTTTGAGGCCTTTCTGCAAAGTCAGCACAGACGAGGCGGGGGCCAGAGTGCCCGGGAAGGCAGTTGGGCATCTGCCCAAGACCTACGGGCGGGACTCGTGTTTCTGAGGGTCAAGGCAAGCCGTGCCCTGACATCAACGGAATCTGCCCGCGTGCTTTGTGGCTGCGGCCCAAGCCCGGGCGAGCCCGGGGCAAGGTTCCTATCTTCCTGATGGTCGTGAGCCGGTGGATCAGGAGGAGGATCGTCCTGGCCTCTGAATGGCCTCTGTCTCCTTAGGAGAGTGACGGTCGCTGGTTGGTAAAGGTTAGGAGAGCTTCATTTTAGCTGTAACTTAATTCTACTGGATTAGTCAGATGGGTTAGCTGCTAACACACAGACTCTCAAATAGAAGAGAAGGTGGTTTCTCTTATGAACACTTTAGAGGGCTGGCTCTTGTCCAGGTGGGGCTCCAGGTGTCAACCTGTGGCTTCCAATGTCGCCCGAGGGGTTCGGCTCCAGCCCAGCCAGAGGGGAGGAGCATGGAAGCAAAGCCTGGGAGGGCTTTATGGACCAGCTCGGAAGTGGTACAGTCACTTCCACTCCCCTCCCCTCCCCCAGAGCTCAGGCACAGCTGTACCTAACTGCATGGGGGGTGGGGGGTGGGGGGGGTGGGTGATGAGTGTAGCCGTGTCCCCAGTCTGAGCAAATGGACTCTGGTGAATAGTTAGCAATCTTGGCCACGCCAATCTTGGGTCTTACAGAATTCTAGGGAATGCGAGCGATCGCCACTTTTCTGCGCAGTGTGTTCTTTTTATGTTTATTTTTAACGTATGTTTTTATTGATTTCAAGAGAGAGAAAAGGAGAAGGGGAGAGAGATCGGGTATCAAAGCAGCAACCCAGGTATGTGCCCCGACCGGAAATAGAGCCCGCAGCCTTTTTTTGGTGTATGGGACGATGCTCTAACCAACTGAGCCACCTGGCTAGGACGACTGGAAAGATTTTAGAAGGCTTCAACAGACGAGCCAAATTGAGCTCAAGAGAGATGAACATCTGAATTAAAAACGAATGCAGAGATTCTGCAAACCAAAACTTTAACGCAGTCATGGCATGTTGGGGTTTGTGCTTTGACAACATGACATCAACAGACAGTTTTCTGTGCTGCATGGGGACGGGGCAGCGGCACATTGTGCCTGTCATGGGCGAGTGGTGAGGATGGAGGCGGTGTCTATGCCATGTGAGGAGAGCTTGGAAGACCGCGTGATGTTTTAAACTTGGAAGGGACAGGAGCGTGTTCCCAGGTAGTTCAAACACTGTCAAGTCCAAGTGGAACTAAACTTAATCATTATGTCACATGGTTGTAAGCTACAGAAAATAAGATTTCAGCTTAAAATGTGAAAAATAACTTAGTAGACAGAGCTGTCTGAAGAAGTAATGAGTTGCCTTGACAAGTAATGAGCTCCCTGGGAGACCACTAGGCGGGGTCCTCACGGTGCTAATAACAGCACGTGTGGCCCTACTGTCCTAACTTGTGCCCTTGGCCAACATCGCTGATGAATCATGACTTTTTTTCTTTGGCTCGTAAAGACCAAGGTTTCTCCTGGCCCATCACCAGCCAGAGGGGAAGAGCATGGAGTTGGCCTGTAAATGGAAATGTTTTTTCCATGCCTGGCCTAGGTGATGTTTAAAGTCTGTTACACTGTGAGAGACTACAATTCCAAGATTTGTAGGTCCCATGTGATAGCAAACCCGTGATGTTATTTGTTTTTTAAAGTATTGCTAACAAATATGAATGCGCACGCACACACATGCATGCCACCATTATCATACCAAGTAAAATGAACAATAATCCCTTAACGTTAGCTAATACACAGTGTATATTCAACTTTATTTTGTTCGAATAGCCTCAAAAATGTCTTTTTACACTTGGGTTGTCCCCAAGTTACCCCCATCTGTTTTGTCAAGCTGTTAATGTGTATTATATGACCACAGGATTTGGCATTTCACTCACTCTCCCCGGTTCCAGGATGGGAAGGGATGCTATGTGAATACAATAGAATAAATCTTGAGGTGAAAGCTAAGCTTATGTTGGCAAAGAACTTATAGAGGGGGAAAAAAAAAACTTAAAGCTGGCTTTTAAGAT